CCTCCTCTCTTACAAAGGATGCCCAGGTCTTCTGTGGGTCCTGGTGATGGCTCTTGTCCACCTGGCTCCTGTCCTCTTCCCCCGTCTTTGCTGCCCCAGCTCTTTATATCCAATAGCCTCTCTCTAGGCTCCCCACTCCCAGAACCACCTCCCTTCTTCTTCATCCGTCCTCCTGTGGAAATCCATCTTCCATAATAAAACTCTAGTCACATGCTCAGGCAGCAACTCCAGCCCCTTGGCAAAGTCAAGGTCCTCTTTGTGCTTGGCGTGCTCTCCCTTGCCATCTCAGCCCTCCGTCCACCGTACCACACTGACACCCATGACACCCACGCATGTCAAGTCCTGGGCGCACCCTGACTTCATCAGTCCCTACTCCTGCCCTCCATCTCTTCCCCAGATGCACACTCCCTTCTGCTCCTCAAACAGCACATCCCTTACCACCTGGTGCCTGCACAGCCTTCCCTCTCCTCCTGGGAATCTTAGCACAGCCCCTTTCTGTCACCAGGATTCAGTGCAATGTTCTCTCCAAATGCTCATGCTCCAGCCTAGGTGAGTTTTGTGTGGGCTTTCCTCAGAGAAACCACAGCTACTTGAAACTAGTGTGTTCATTTGCAGCCAACTCTTATTATGCACAATAATCATGTCCTCTCGTCTCCATGAACACAAATTAACAAGTGCTGTGTCTCTGCTCCTGGGGGAAATACAAGGTTAGTTTTCCTACTGGTCACATTTTCATCAACCCATCAATCCATAACATTATTTTAGGTGTGTTTCTGTTTGTTTTTTGTTTGTTTGATTGATTTGTTTTGTTTTGTTTTTATACTGGGGATTGAACCCAAGAGCACTTTACCACTGAGCTATATCCCAGTCTGTTTTATTTATTTGTTTGTTTGTTTGTTTGGGTATTTATTGTGAGACAAAGTCTCACTAAGTTGCTTAGACCCTTGCTGAGCTACTGAGGCTGGCTTTGAACAATCCTCCTGCCTGAGCCTCCTGAGTTACTAGATTGCAGGGCTGCACCACTGTGCCTGGCTCTGATGAAATATGCCTTTTAAATATACTTCTCTGATTCACTGACATTGGACTCAATGGCAGGAGCTCTCTGCCAGAAGGAAGCCTGTTTGACATATATATTTTCTCCATAAGGCATAGCCTTCCTGCACTCAGAAATAGCAGATAGTACATACGCACTATGCTAAAGGGCCATTTTAAGGGGGGAAAAAAGTACCAAAAAATGCAGAAATATGGCATTAACTAGACCATGAAAAGGATGCTTTCAGCTTTCAATATAGGGGCTGAAATAAGAAG